CTCACGCGCAAGCCAGCAGTCACGGCGATGCATCATCGCTCGCTGCTGCGGCCGTCGACGTTCTCTGCTGCTTCCTCGACGCTAGTTTTTTTCCGGCGAAGTCTGCCCAACTTACTGTTATTTTCAATTTATTATTTATCGTCCCTTCGCTTTCATCCATGACGTTTCTCATGGAGGTGCGAGTAACTTTTATGTCCCTTATACGTAAGCCCTCGAGCAGCGGCCGCGCACAATTAGTTTCTAGCCCCCGAGAACTTTCTTTTCTGAAGCCAGACGAAGCCCGAGCAGGCCGCCGTAGTTAAGGCCAGCCGCCGTAGTTTGGTCCATTAGTGAAACAACCAAGGAAGAATTCGCCGAACCTGGAGATGTTCGCCCGGCCGAAAGCCGACCGAAAGCCCTGTTTCTGCACCCACGTGGTGTTCCTGCCCGTCGCACCTCGTACGCCAACGCCCTCCCACAGCGAAGCTTATCAAAACGTCAATGACTGGACGCTGCAGTACAAGGGAACTACGCAAGGTGGAGCTCCATCGAGTGTTTGCGACCCAGTAGCGACGAGAACGCTCTAAGGAACTACTTCAGGCAAGGGTTTAAGGCCCCTACAGGAGCGTCGTCAGTTTCATCGATGATTTTCTTCGGCTCAACAAGCGAGCGGATCCCCAAGCTCCTGAAGCGAAGAAGCTGAAAATCCTCATGCAGAGTAAAAAAAAAAAACATATTTTTGAGGTTTTGTGCGCAGTTCACCGGCGACCGTCGAACAGTTTGTGACAGAGGTCACGAACATGGAACGTGCTGTCCAATCACGAGTCTCCCACTAGTGGCGACTACCTGACGGCGCTGCATTTTCGTCGTCAAGCTGCTACTTAGGCTCCACTACATCGGACATACGCGAGATCATTCTGTACGTCGTCCGAGAAGAGCTCTGGAAGCTGCTCCCTGCTGCTGAGCGCCAGCGGCCTCCTTTTCAGCCGCTGAAATCGTACGCGACAAGGTCCAGCTGGCCTTGCAGCCTGAAACATCCGTCGACGTGCCAGCCCCCGAAGAACTGATGCTGTCCTACGCCACAATGGCCCGCCGATAACCGCCGCCCGCTCGTCTATGTGGGGCACCTCCACGTCATGAGCATCCAACACCGCAGTACTGGAGACATCGCGAAGAACGGCTACACTCCTTCCGCCCGGAACAACCAGCACCCAGGAAGGCTATCATTGTGGAGGACGGCCGACCGACGCCCGCTGTGATCACTGCGGGTAAGCGGACAACACTTACCGACGATTCCCGTACCGCCAGCTAACCTGCGAGGGTTTGCGCCAAACGACCCTCGACCACGCCTTGGGGAGTGACTACGGGATATTGAAGACTACCTTCGCCACTGGACATCGGCTGTCTCCTCACCGAAGATAACGCTTGCCTTCACCTTGACGCCCTGCATTCACTCTTCGTAGGTCCCGCCGGAAAAACCTTCTCCTTTGCCTCGCCCAAAAAACCAAGTACGGCGATACCGGGAAGTGCTATTACCGAGGACGAACGACACGAATATCCTCTACAAACGCCAAAGGGCTCCCGCACTAACTAACGACGCAACGGATCGGAACGACGCTCCTGCGACAAATAACCTTGACGTTACCATCGACGGCCATGACGCGACGGCACTTATCGACACCGAAGCAGACAATTCTGTTTTGATTGGTAAGCTCTCTTGCCACCCTCGGAAAGTGGTGACGCCGTGTGATGGCCCGCAAAGAGGAACCGCCGGCGGCCATCACATCAGTCCGGTGGGAGGGTGCACTCCACGCGTGGACATCCACTGGGAGACATGTCCAGTGAAGATCGTCGTCATCAAGGACTGTTGAAAAGACGTCCTTCTTAGAATGAACTACGTGAATACGGCGCCGTCATCGACACTGGAGCGAACAGGTTGACTGTGCGAGAATCCATTCCTACGTGGTAAGATCGCGATGCGACGTCAGTCGCGGTTAGACTTCTTGCGGACCTTGTGAACCTGCCACCGCTGTCTTTTTGCCGCTCGGAATCGCAACAACTATCTGCGGTGGAGTTCTGTTCAAAAGGAACGCTCATCTGCTCATGGGAAGAGGTATCGGAGTTCCTAGGGTGTAACGGAGCTCAAGGACATGCGCATTATATCTTGTGACGAACTTCCGAAAAGAACCACAGTACCTGACAAAGGAGACAACTGTGGGCCACGTACAGGAACTTCCAGACCCTTCCGCGATCGCCTCCATCTCAGAAGACTCCTCTTCATTACTGAACAAGAGGACGCCGCCTTCGGAGCTTCACATCGGAACCTGTCAGTGAACTTAAATGGATTGTCCGGTCACGTTTTGTATTCGAGAAAACGATTGAATATCATTGTTATTGCCTCGAGACCCATCGAACATGCAATATCTGAATTTTAAATGCCCCCCTGCATGAGTAACTGAATTTATATTGCTCCAATCACACTCTAGCGTTAACGCTGCTTTCGGTGGCAACAATGAAGCTCTGACGTCACACAACACAAAGCAAGCATTTCTGTCTCGTCGTTTACCTGCGAGTGAACGCCTCAGCGTGCGTTACTTTCGTTGTTATGCTGGACTTGTTTCGTGGTTGGGTGAGGTTTTTGTTGCGTGGTTGGGTGAGGTTTTTGTTGCGTGGTTGGGTGCCACAACCACCGGCACTACATGCGACCCGAGACATGACGTTCCGCACTTTTCCGCGAGACGTGCACTGAGGAGCAAAATGGACCGTCGCCGTGCGTAGGGACTGGGTTCCCGTCAAGATTGAGATCCCGCTTATGTAGCAATCATCTCACTGGACAGAGCTACGAGCCGAGCTCTAGGCGGGCAGAAGGCTCGTAAGCTGAGGTGTGATGCTGTGCCAACGATATTAAACTTCGTCCATCCACTCCTCGCCCAAATCAGATCAATCAATTTGATCATCTAGCGAAACCCAAACCAACAGACATGCCACCTGGAAACGATACCAGAAGTTGTATTTAGCACGCGTGCAGTCAAATTCTGTTTGACCCGCATGTGAAATAGAGCGTGGCTACGATTAACCAAGCTCGTCCAAGTCAAGTGACGACATTCATTTGAACGATTCGCCGTTTGCCTTTGACCCGTGGACATCGCCTCTGAGGGAACGTCCCGCAGCCTCATCACCGATCCAATGAATCAGCAGAAATGCGTACCCGGATGCCGCTTCGTGTACCTAGTGTCCGCTTCAGAGGCGAATTCTGGATCCTTTGCTTTGCAAGCGCTTCTAGTTCGACCGGCGGCCATCGCAGGTTGCTAGAAGCTTATGGCTGTTTTCGAGTAATATCCTGCTAAAAGGCGTGACTTTTTTTGCAAACGCTTGGGAATTGCATTAAAAGAGCCGTATTTCAGCAGGGTACAGACTAGGAGACCATATAATCCGAAACAAAATACAAGACATCCATCGACCGACGCTTGTTATCCCGACCATCCGAAAAAACCTTTGCGTTTTCTGACGTCGCGCAGCAGCTACGGATGTCAGCCGTTGACACTGGCGAAATTCGGGGTGCAGCTTCGTACATACGCGCATGAAAGGTTTGATTAATAAGGGGAGATCATATATAAAAATAAAAATGACTTTTTGTACATGAAGGCTCCCTCGACGTAACGAGCGCAAAAACTTAAGCACTTCCGGTTTCGACCGGGCAATCGCTTTAAGGACAACAACATGTCGACTCGAGCCGGTATAACCGTTGCAGACGTGACATTCATTTTCAACCGAGAGACGTCGTATAGGTAAACACCTATACGACGTCCCGACCTTAGCGTGAAGCTCTTGGAATGAATCTTCGACCATACAGTGTGCTCCGTCGCCTCGGAGACCTGAACTACGAGGTGACTCCAGACGGAACACGGTCGTCTGGACGCCGCAAGTCGCGAACCCAAGGGGCGCGAGTCTAGCGTCTTGTTTTGTGCTCGATATGACTGAGGGCTATTTATAATACAGACGACCCCGCAGTCTACTCTTTGTCGTTATTTGGTTTAGCTTTGTGTTAATTTATTTAAGGTTGCATGGGAGCAATGCACTTTTAAAGTGGTGAGTAGTACCACGTGCCTGACCCCCAAGGAAGGAGTCTCCGTACATCTATAAGATTGGTATTTATTCATACCCCTAGTGTAAAAGATAAGAGAGACAATGACGTTGCCTAGTCAGTCTCGCCCTAGCTCACTAAGGACCTTTCTGCGTCGAATGTTCGAGGGACCGTGTATAGATCAGGAGCGGAGCGCGTTGCCAACTCATTCCCTCTCGCGCTAGTCAGCTGTGACGTCACCGAATCGTCCCCTGCTGCTGCCATCGTCGACGTACGCTGCTGCTTTCTCGACGCTAGTACTTTCTGTTTTTGGCACAAGTTTGCCGATTAACCCTTTAAGTTTATTATTCATCGCCTTTTCGCCTTCATCCGTGGTATCCGTGATGTATAGCCCACACACAAAACGAAGTAATAGCCTGTTATGCTCTTTCCCAAAGTTACCAAGAGCAGAAATCAAGTGTAAATTGCAATTATCGGCTCTGCGAGAATTCGACGTGGAAACCTTGTATACTCTTATGATTTCTTGTTTCATATATCATCTTTATTCCAAACCTATTTATATTTCCCACAGCCGTAGGCACTCTCTCAAATAGTTCCTCAGTCTTTATGCTTAAAAAACAAAATTCGCAAAACACTTGGTAAGCTTCGAGCTTTAGTTGCTATAATGAACTTATTTTCAACAATCTGCCAACATAGATTGGGGTGCTAGTAAATTTGCTTTACAAGGACACACATGAGCAAAAACTTCTATTCCAAATTATTTATTCTCGTTGCTTTATTTGCGCTTACCGGTGCTTTGTTGACGGTTTTTGTTTTCGTAATTATTTTACATCTTGTGGTAATTATCTTATATCTTGACATGTTTCACGATAGTTACCAAATCCCTGGGACCAATAATTAAAAAGTGACAGATGTCAGTCGTTCTGGAGTCCACCTTTTAACGACATATGTCCACGCACTCTCTCAACTCCGTGAGGGCTTTCTCGATGGCGTCCTTGAACTTGGTAGCGTTCTTCTCAGGGAAAGACTTGCTGCAACTCAGGCCGAAAATGAAAGATTCGGGTCGGATGTTGTACGTTACCATGTAGCTACCAGGAAAACTGGGATTTTCGAAAGTGCAGCCGTCGCATTGAAGATTCATCTGAGTGAAAGTAGGGACAACAGTCAGTCTTTTCGGGTAACAAGCACGCAAAGGTCTACAAAGGCAATACCCGAAAGTATAATCGGAAAAGCTTTCAAGGTAAGTCAGCTGGCCAACTTCGGCACACTGGCACATTATCATGTACGTCCCATTGCCTGAGTTACGGGAGGTGAAGCTACTTAGGTAGACTTACCTCAATGATTGACGCGCTAGTCGTTGGCCAGATTCCAGATTTGCTTAGCCAATATGCGTAAGCATATCTGAGAGCTGAGTAAAGCTTAGCGCACGGATTACTGAGGCATGTCTACGTAAGCTTTGGCTGCTCCTCCTCTTCCTTCCCCATAAACAATGCGGCATTACGTCCAATGACGTAATATCGGCCGTTGGCTTACATCACACACTTTTCCGAATACTCTTCCCAGACTAGCAACAATGCACTCGTGGTGCGGGTGAGCAATGTTACGAAATGGGGGTCACTTCTTGCCTCGAACAATGGACCTTTTTCCAGTAAGGAGTGCCTCATGACGGTTTCGCCGCCTACTACAAATGGAGGGCAACCGGACTCGCCTTCTCCCGTAGGAGCAGATTAGTGTGGCAACAGAACAGTGCCCCCCGAGGATGGCGAAAGGGCGCTCAAGGTCAAGGGAAAGGGTGTGCGCGTGCGCAGACGTTTACTGGAAAAAGGTCCATTAAAGACGAGCTCTGCCGACTTAGAAGAACGTTCAAGCTGAACGCGTTTCTCCCTTTTTGAAAGAAACTAGTTGACAAGCAGCGCAAAATTTTCAGGGGCTTATTCATAGACAATGCGGCGCCGAACATGACGCAGCATCAAAATTCTCGTTTAAAGCCCTATCACATGAAAGCGTGTTTCACGCGTCTCATTCACGTCAGCGTCTCTCTGCGTCGGGGCGCGTCCCTCATTACCACTTTGAACAACCCAACCCATGCGAGGCGCCGATGCCTCTCTCGGTCGGGTCTCGGCGTCGACGCGGGAAGTGGCTTGAAGCAACCGGAAGCGAGGCCGGGCGCACCCTCTGAACGATCCGAGTCAGTCTTGAGGTAGTATAGATGCAGCAATGTATATGACTGTCTCGGGTTTTACAACTGTTTTCTTTAATGTACAAGGCGACATAATGAAGACTTATTTGTTTTTACCTGCATACGTCTAGGTGTCCCCACATGCTAATTCCTTAATTGATAAGTGTACGAACTCAACTTCAATAACGTAACGATCTTGCATGTGGTAATTCTAAGAGTGGTCTAAGGTGAATTGAGTAGGTTGTTTAACTTATAGAATGTAGTCGCCGAGCTATATCTCCGCCGGTTATGCTTTTTTTTCTTGAGTGATTTTTGGAAAAATACCGAATATATTGTTAGACATCAAATGAGCTCGGCATACGTATGAAGTTCAGGATTACCTAATATACCTAATTCTATCAACTGTAAACAGCTAGCCGGAAGTATATTATCTCTGACAAGTTTTATTTAGATTTTTCTTAGATATTGGATATCAGTTTCAGGTATAATTTCGCACGTTCGTCCGAAATTTACCTTAAGGTCTAGTTCTTTCACTGGAGTAATACGCAAACTAGTTCATTAGGAAAGAAAAGCTCGCGAACTGAGGTAATTTTACGTGCGTATGCGCTTCTATGCTCAATGTCCTATACAGGCTTAACATTTTGTGCCGTCCGAGCTTGTATCTTCATTACTCAGCGTTGGATGCGTAGTCAGAATAATATGAAATGCCCGGAGTAAACAAAAATCGCGCAGATAACGCAGTGCAGTTATCATTTGACGAAAGCACGCTGCAGATAGTGTGCTCATCAAGCAAGGGTCAAACTACTGAAACATCGCGTCTGCAAGGACTGTCCAATTCCTAATCATTGTATTACGACGGTGATGTCACATTAATTCCACAAGCACTTCTGCAGATGCGTTCAAAGCGTGCACATGAATGAAGCAAACAAATATTGAACATGCTTCAGCAGTGCCCGTGTATCATTTTGTCATTATGCCAACAGAGAACATCCTCCCTACTGTAGTTTAGTGGGAAAATTGACATCACGTGACCTTTACCTACATTCTGTATCCCCACAAAAGTAAGTAGGACATTGACGTCACCTAACCTATTCGTTAAATCAATCTTTCCGCTAGTTTTAGCGGATAAATTTATCATGGCACTTTTCTCACTAAGTTTAGTGAGGAAACTGGCGTCAGGGGACTTAAAGAGACACTGACAGGGTATTTATGTTCGCCATGGTTTTTATTTGTGCATTACATATGAGAGCGCAACTACCCAAAAAACAATTCGCGTCTCGAAACTGTTTCTTATTCCGCACGAAAACCACCGATCGTGAACTGGCCGGTTTGAGTCGCGCTCACTCTCTCCTCGGTGGTCACGTGCCGTGTTTTATCGTTTAGACACAACCACCAAATATAATGAAAGTCTTAGGTCTTCCAAGGCGCATACACAATATTAAAACTAGAAAAGAAATAAGATACCCATTTTTTTTGCGGCTTTTAGAAAGCTGCAAATATGTTGATTGGGGGAAAAAGAGTATCAGAGCCACGTGACTTCCGACGCCTCCTTTTTCCTCTATATTCCTTCTTCCTCCCCAGTCCAGCATTAGTTTCGGTTTCACAAGTTTCGAGCAGTTGCGTTTTTCTTAACTTTATTAAAAATATATGTCACGCTGTAGCAAAATATTCATTGTGCGTGTGTGTGTGTGGGGGGGGGGGGGGGTGTCAGTGTTTTTTTTAAGCACCATTTGTTTCCCCTCTACGCTGAGCTGGAGAGGTGATGTCATGTGAGCTTTACGCCAATTCAGTTTTCCGGCCAAATTTAGCAGACGAATTGACATCATATTGCATCTGCACAAATTTAGTTATCTCGCTAGATTCAATGGCTAAACGACCGCCTAATATCGTCTAAACAAAAATTAAACGATCGCTTCTCACGTACTGCATTCCGGACATTTTCAAGGTCTATCTGTTAAACTGTGCGAAAGCTTAAAAAAGAAAAAAAGAAAAAAAAAAAAACTGACGCAAGCGGTGCGCGTCGCAGTATTTTTCACAGTCCTATTGATCAAGCCAAGATATTATTTTAGGACGGGCCAAACTACCAATGTTACAAATATTACTTAAATATTGTATATTAATTTTTGCACAAACCCTTTATTATCAATTCACTAAAGTATGTTGAAAAGCATCCTATAGTGCCGCTTTCAACTTTCCATAAATGTAGTTTTGCATTTTTAAGGAAGTTTAAAAATCTTGCGGGAGATTTGACAAAAAGCAATATCATGTAATTACCCGTTAGCGAACTGTAATTTTAGCTTGGTTAACGACGTGCGGTTTTCGTTTCAAATCTTGTGGCTTTTTAAAGCTCAAGGTATTTACACAGAAAGGCTACCTTTATGAAAACGACATGATTGCACGTTGCTAAACAAGGCACACACAATTTGTAGTCAAGGGTGCGCGCGTAAATTATGATTAAAAATTTAGCTAATTAATCTTTCTTAATTAGACAGTTTCGCTCATCACAAAGGATATCGTTGGTTCAACACGCAGCAGTTCTTTTTTTTTTAAGTCTTAGCACAAGTTAGTTAAAACACCCTATAGATCTTCTAAAAAAAGTTCACTGTCAATTGTTTTATTCTTTTATGACATGCGTTACATACGAAAACGTGACAAAAATTCATTTTGCAATACTCCTATCGTACCTGGCTGGCTATCAGATCCGCATGCCCAAAAACGCGGTGCTTGAAGAAAGGATGAATCGGGATCCCATCATCAAGGGCAATGCTTAACAACCCATACATCATCCGGTACACCGCGAGGCCGTTCGCTGCCTGTGAGGAAAAAATAATCCAAAATAAATTTTTGAATAATGCAATAAATGTGTTGTAATCCCTATATTTTAAATGGTATTCACAAATCGTTAACCACGCGAAATGTTTTCTTACTCCTCACGTACATGTCTACAATGCGCTCCTTTCAAACGTGGCAGCAATATCATTAGTATTATAAAATTATGGAGAGATAGGAATATCAAAGACATGTTAAACTAAGGCAATCTGTGGGAAAACCGTCGCCTTAAGTGGAGGGTGACGGACGCACCAGTGTGGGTCTCAACGGAAAGCAGGGAGAAAAGCGTTTGCTTAAAGATATCGCTAAAAGACCAGAAGTCACGAGACTCAAGATCAGGTAGATTTAAAGCAACACGCCATCAGGTTACTACGAGGCTACAATGCGAAGGTCACACGCTGAGGAAGTCAACTTTTTTTTTAACTTAACCGGCAAGGCACGCAGATTCCCAACCTTCCTGCCGTCGTCAAGCAGGGTCAAGATGTCAAACTTCGACCGTTGTGTCATGTTCTACAAACGACAGGAGTCTATAGATAATCTAAAATGCCTTGTCCAGAATTTATAATGTTTCTTCCGTAGCATTGGCCTTGGCAGGCGAATATGATTTTTGTAGTCGTGAAAGACGGGAAGAGAGCAGTTGGTTGCCGGTTGCGGAATGTCTTTTCTTTTTGTATTTTCTTAGGAAGTTTAGTCTCTAATAGGTAGCATACAGATGTGGCTCTTGTTCGTTGGGAAAGTACGTATCTTAAGAAGCTCTCGCCATCCTTTTAATTACATTTTCTGCACATCGGATATCTGACCCCCTCGTGCGACAACGTGTAATAACTTCGGACCTCAAGCTTTAGCATCACATTATGTCGATAGAACTGTTCAAAAATGCGTCAACTGGTGCTCTTAAGAAAAACAAAACTTGCCTGCGTCTGATCCACAAGCGAAACGTTTCATTTGATGACCTCTTGTGAGAACGAGCTGCCACGACCCGATTGAGTTTTTAACCAAGACTACGACTTTTCCAAAATTAGAGAGACAAAATTACGTCAGCCTTGAACTAAAATTTGTTATCATTGATTGAACAGCGAAACCGGCGATCCGACTGTCTTTGAGTCACTTCTAAAGAATAAGCTATTCACCATGTCCAATACGTTAGTCGCGTGTGCCAGTGGAGTGACTTTTTACTATAACACACTTACACGTGCATGTGCCTGTTGTGGTGAGAACTGGAAGATCTCAGTTTCAAACAAAATTGTGAAGGAATTACTGTCTAGAGGAATTGTAAAGTAATGTCAAAGTAACTTCACTACGTTTTAGATATAAGTATAACGTAATGATATTACGTCTAGTCTGGTTTAAGTTGCAATGCAATTGAATTATTTTTCAAAGTATTTCTGCCATATCCGTCCCTTTCGGGCGGAGCGGTGAAAGGCATGTGTTGACCGAAACGTGACACACCCGTGAACCACTGGCGACATCACGTGCTGTGCACATTCCCAACCGTCCGTCTTTGGAATTTATTTGACAGGAATGACTTCATTCCTTGAACGCTGTAAAAAAACACGCCTTTCCCACACTGTCGTGGCCAGGCGCAGGTAACTGGGAATCGGAAGCCGCCCAGACCTATACTCTGTTTCACCTTATGTTGTACTGCAGCAAAAGCTAGAAGCGCAAGCTCATAGCGTCGGCAGCTGACCTCAGTGCACGAGAGCTTGTGCCGCTGAGATCTGCCCCAGAGCAAGGAGCTCGCGCTTCTAACCTTTCCTGCGGTACAACACAAGGTGAAACAGAGTATAGATGCGATCGCAGTCCCGCTGTTTCCGCCAAGGCGGCGACTCTGAGAAGAAAATATGCCTGAACGGAGTAGGTTAAAACCCCTTGATACAATTCAGGCTCCACGTTTTTAGAAGTCCTCTCGATCGCGTTCCGGGTGAGCAAGAAATTTGAAACAAATCAGTGTTTTATAGAGAATATGATGGCTTGTTCAAAAACGCCTCGATCCAAGAAGTACGTTTCAATAGGGAGACAAAAAAAAAAAAGAGTAGCAATGCACCAGTTTCTAGCAAAAAAGCTGTTGAACTACCTCAACCATCCGCGCAAAGTGAAGATGCTTAATCAAGCGTCCACTTTCTTTCTTTGGTTCTCTGTATATTTCTTTTTGCGCTCTTTCTCGTGAGAAGCCAGGAGCTCGCTATTTCCAAGTCAGTGGATCTGGGAAGGTACTAAGTAGCGCCATTGCCTTCCCACCTGATAGCCGGACACAAACAAATACCAACACGCAGACGACAAAACCTCTCAAGGTAATTGGCTCATCGCTGTTGGTTTCCATGGTGATCGCCATTTTTCACCCTTTCAAAGCTTCCAAGCATCGAAAGGGTCATTAAAACTAGTCGCATCAAGATCACTATGGAGCATAAACGTACTGAAAGTGTTTCTCGGTCAATATGAGTGTCTTTGGTTGTGTGAATGCTATAAACTTATCAATCCTGCTTCTTTTCCCAGATCTCAAACAATTATTTTACTCTTCTTCCGTGCTTGAAGACAGCAAAATTGTTTTTTCAATGACCCCAAGCCGTGACGCCGCATGTGATGCCCTCCGTGGTCGTACCGCCATCACACGCAACGTCAGTGCTTGGAGGCATTAAGAAATAATTGTACTATTTTGAAACACGCAAGAAGAGCAACATAATTGTAACAAATCTGGAGAGGTATGCATGAGTGATAAGTTTATTGCATGCAAAGTGCCAAAGACGCTCATACTGACCGAGGAACGCTTTCAATACGATGATTCTCTATAGCGATTATAGTGCGACTAGTTTTAACGACCTTTTCGAAGATTGCAAGCTTTGGAAGAGTCCACAATGGCGATCATCATGGCAACCGACAGTGATGAGCCAACCATCTTGAGAGGTTTTGTCGTCTGTATGTTGGTGTTTGTTTGTGTCCGGCTAGCAGGTCGGAAGGCAATGGCACTAATGATTATACAATTAAATACAAAGGCGCAAGCGAGCTGAACAAGAAAGACGAAAATGATACCTGCAGAAGTGAAACTATGGGGACAAAGGACAAACACAAATCTCCAAACACAAATAAGTGACTGGAGCGCGACCGAAAAAATACGCTTAGTCTTGGAATTGAACCAGGGACCTCTTTTTGTACTGTTTTACATAATGCTATACCCCCTGAGTCAACCAGGGTTTTTCAAAAGTGATCCTTAGTAAAGCTCTACAAACACTGCGGGTGTGAGGTCGTGTTAGATAACGATATTCTTGAAGAACCTACAGCATAATAGTTACGCGTTTTTCAGCCACTGAAAATTTTTCATCAACTTTAATAGGAGCGCTTACACACTTACGGAAACGGCGTCTTGTTTGCATCTTTCCACGGCTTTCCTTAAGCTCTGTTCTTTCTCTGCTTTGCATGATAAGGGGCTGTCGAAGACCCTGCAGAACGATAGGCTGTCTTCCGAGGAGGGGTAATATACCGTAGCTCGTCCGTGAAGGAATTGGCGAGTCGAAGCCGTTCCGTACACGATGACCGGGGTGCCAATAGTCCTGGTAAAAAAAATGGACTACTTACACCTTTATGTCCAAAACGATGATTGGTTCACCGCTCAACAAGCAGATAAGTCAGCAGTGTATCATTCTGTTAAAAAAGTTAGGATACAATTTATACCGACATCACTTTGTATGACTTTATGCGTAGGAGCATTACTCAGAAAGACCTTCTTTTTTGTCCTCCGGTTAACACGCAGCCCTCATGTGAAGAGAGAGCTTCTGGTAAACCTCAGAACGGCGTGCCGACGTTTCAGTGGGAGACCTAGCTTTTTCAGGGCCCTCATGTAATACATTCGAACAAACTTATTTAGTAGAATATACTTGAACTTAACTTAGTCGACTCTGTGAAGCGAACAAAGCTACTTTTGTAAGTATTCAATTTTTTTTTATTTAAAAACACTGAATGCAGGGATGGATTTAATACTTATACAATTCTAAAATTCTTTAATTTTCCAATGCAATGGAAGAGGAGAAGTGGGACAGTCATGAACCATAACAAACATATTAAAAAACAGCGACTACTTAACCATTTGTGGGCCGACGAGATCGATAGAAATCACTTTCAAATCGGTTCCCATATATGAATGGAGCGCAGCACAATTAGGAGCGCAGCACATAGAATGAGGCTCAATGCGTTTGAATCGCTGGCCTTTATACAGCAGCTCAAATCCCCCGCTCTTACTAACAGTGACCGAAACGGTCAACGTGAGCACAACTTGCATAAATGGTTGTCAGTGTACTTCCTGGCGTGTGCTAGCACTGTTTTGTCGAACTTGCTATTGGCACTGTCCGAGGACGTAAAGCAGGATCCCGGCCCTCTCGCACAGGCCCAGGCAGAATTGCTATAGGCCGCCAGATTATTCGCACGATTTTTTTACGGAACTTTTTGACGCACTTCTTTTTTTCTTTCCAAAAAGTTTCCGAGAGCTAGTATGACACTTCTTGGTGATTTTAATTATCCACATATTGACTGACTTTCCTTGTCGTCACGATGTGCTACGTCACATGGATTCATTGACACATGTTTAACGTTCAACTTAGTTCAAATGCTAAATAAGCCAACCAGGATTCTAGGTTCCTCTGGCAGCACCCTTGATCTGTGCTTATCGTCTCATCCAGGCAACATCAACAGCATCCCATACCTTCTGAGGCTGAGTGATCACTTAATTATACATCTTTCACTGGAACTTCCCACATCCCGAAAATTCGCATACCATACATACATCATGGGTTATAACAAAGCAAACTATCGGGCAATAAACGAGGGCTTAGAATCGTTTTACTGTTCGTTTATGTCCATCTTTGACCAGTATTCAATTACTCGTCAGAGATCAATCATCAAGTTCGGGGTGGCTACCCAATGACTGGAAAGTAGGAGAAATAATGCCCATTCAAAAAACGGTGGTTCGGAACAAAATAATTAATTATCGCCCCATATTAATCACCCGTGTTCCTTACAAGCTTCTTGAGCAGATTATATATTCAAACATAATTAACTACTTGGAATCAAATTACTTGCTGTGTTACAACCATTATGGGTTCCGCAAAACGTTTTCCTGTGAAACCCAGCTGTTACGCTTTACGCAGGACCTCTTTTCTAACTAAATAACAAACTCAGTGATGTGATTGCTGCGCCAATCGCGCCAAACTACGCCGAGGGTCTAACCCTGATACATCCTGCTACATTTTGTCAAAATATGGGTAATCTGCGCCAAGCCTGCGCCAAAGTACCAACTTCGGTCGCCTTTCGAAACCGAAACTGAACTGACTATATATGTATACCGTAACTGAGCATGCGTGAGCTAGTTGGCGCTAGCGGCCGCCCAACACAAAATATCTGCACGCTGAAGTTGCAGAGTGCACTTGTTTGTCTCGAGTACAGCTGTTGGAGAAAGCTCTCCAAGAACTCTTTGATCCTGGCTTGCGATGTCTTGCATCGATGCGCTCAGTTTCTTTTTTCTGTGCGTTTAGCTTGTACCTTGCCCTGTCGGCCTGGCAGGCACATGCCGCTGGACTGTTTTTTGGCGTATGCTGGACAGTTATGTTTTGTATACAATTTTCGGAACCGGTTGGCGACGGAGCGAAGTGGCATGGTTTCAGTTTTGATCGAACATGCCGTCTCCACTCGCGCGACGAGGCGCGTGCAACTGCAAGTAGTCGAAGTTAGCCTCACGTGCATGCGAACATAATAGCACGAATGAGGAACCAGCCGGGACGCATGCAATCCATTGCTTTGCGTTTGCTTGCTTTTGAGGAAAATTTGGCATTTCTGGAACCAGTAAAACGGTGGCAAGCGTTTTTTCGGAATTTCTCGGCAAAGCCTACAGCACTGTACACTTGTGGGACGTCTCAATGTCTCTTTGGAGACATTGGAAAAGGGCACCATTACTTGCCAAAGGCAAAGCGGGGCTTGCAGCAGCCTTACAGAAAGTTTCGACAAGCAAAAAGAAAAGCACCCGCTAGTCGTAATGCACCTTTTTCTTGTGTACAATTTCGCATTGCACTGCAGTAGTTACGTGTTTCATCAGTGGGAGACAGCTTCAATTTATTATATTATATAACTAGTCAACCTAATGCTGTGATGTTCACTACGAAGCTGGCCACTTCCATATAATTATTAAATGTGCAGTTTGGTTCTGATTTATCTATACCAGGTACATATGTATGTATTATTTAACTGAAGCATTGCAAGATGTGTCATGTCATTGGCACTTCAGTTACATGTTTAACGACATCCAACTGAAATGTAAAATTATGGTCTCATGACCATAATTATTTTATTGCTGCGAGCAAAATGCCCTTCATTTGTCCAGAACCTAAAACGAATATTTCTATTTCATTCGCTCCAAAAGCCACTTTTTCTGCTCCGAAACATTGTTTTGCCTGCTCCAAATACCACGTTTACTGCCCCAAAACACTGTTTTGGCTGGTCCGAAAGGTGCTCCGAAACGACGTAGGCCAATCACATCACCGCAAACTCCAAACTCACGCCATATTCATCGATTTCTCAAAAGCATGTAAAGGGGACCTCATCAACGCCTTATTAAAAAGCTACCTTCCCTTAGACGTTCCCCAAACATAATAGACTGGATCAGAGAGTTCCTCAAAAATCGCACGCATTATACAGTCATGAATAACAAAATGCCATGCAGGTCCTCTGTCACCTCAGGGGTCCCTCAGGGAACCGTGCTAGGCCACTATTATTCTTAACACACATCAATGACTTAACAAATCTTCTATAATCCCCCGTGCCTCTCTTCGCGGAGGACTGCGTCATTCACAGAGCCATCAAAACACCAAATGACCATAGAATACTTCACAACGGCCTCAATATAATTGAACAGTAATGTTAAAATTTGCGGATGAGAATAAACATAGAAAAGTGCAAGTAACTCACATTCACTCGTCGAACCACCTCGTCTAATTTTTCTTACCAACGAGGTATCAATAACATTGGCCACTGCACATCATATAAGTGCCTAGGTCTTAACCTCACCAGTGATTTCGCATGGAACAACCACGTTAACGAAGTTGTCCTAAAAGCTAGCCCAACACCTGGATACTTAAAACGTAACCTCAGGCTCTGTTCGCCCGAAATCAAAGGGCCAGCCTACACAAACCTGGTTCGTTCCTAAATGGAATATGCATCATCGATTTGGTCACCATATTAAAATTATCTCTCTAGCGAACTAGAAAAAATTTAAAACAAAGCACTAACGTACAATCACTCCGACTACTCCTCCTATACCCGTATCACTTCAGTTTGCAATCGCGCTGATCTCCAAACGCTTTTTTTTTTCGTCGAAGGCTCTCCCAACTCGCTCTTCTTCATAAAATATATTATGACAATCCACAGATAAAAATGGACCTTCTCTGTGCTCAGATCGAATTTCCGCGAGAGGTGCAAATGTGTGCAAAATCCAATTCATCCGGACTGCATCCTTGTTTTTCGTAAATTTCATGCTACCTCTTGCCATTTATGATTGGAATTCATTACCCAACGACATTGTAATAGAAATTAACATATATATATTTTGTGAACTGTCTGTGTCTTCTTCGATCAAATGAATGAGTTATATGTTTGCATAGTGATTTGTTAACTTGTTATCACCATTTTAACTATTGCACTATGTTATTTTGCTGTTGTTTTTTGTGATTTTTACATTTGTCACTAAAAAAGAGTGTCTTCTTACTTACCCTCCCTTGTGTAATACCCGGACACGGGTCCTCAATCTAAATAAATGAAATGAAATGAAATAAAACATCCGCAAACCTCTGCCTTTTATCCCAACTGAGCATTGCTGGGGACCGAATATGAGAGTTTAAAAGGACCGTGCCATGGATATAGGGCAGGAATATTGGCACATCGATAGTTTAGTCCAATGTTCAGTACGAGAAACTTTACATTGCAAGGTAAAAAAAAAATTTCGTCTAATGCTCGTAAAAATATTAAGCGCTGCGAAAACTTAGTCATCTGCGTTAAGTCCTTATTTTGAACCCTTTTTGTTCACCTTCGCCCATTAAAAAGCACGACGAAAGTACCGAAGTGCACACCTGGCCTCTGTACCCTTCCGTATTTGTACGTAGTCTGTCCTGTCCATCTGCTATGGTCAACGTCAGCATGGCAACGAAGCGACATTTTTAGAGGATTCTTGCACGAGACCATGATACAACGCTACTTTATGTTTCACATTCGTCGCTGTTCTGCTATCATTTGTGTGCTTTCGGGCTGTGTTCGCGATGTAACGTATCTGGTCACTTGAGGTTTAAAATGGTCAGTGGCGCCGTGATAATTGTTCCAGTCGGAAATATCGACGAATGTCGCCCACGGTTACTCCGAAAATTATAAAAGGGAGCAACGAGGGGAGAAGGTGACCGTCTATTCTGAAAACCAGGTCAGCTTTTCATGCGGGAAGGATCCACTTCGAAGAAAGTGCCAATGGCATCCTCTTCTGAGTCAGCAAGGCGCGCCTAGCTGGGCTTTGCTTGTGGGCGAA